TTTTTACACCTCCCTTTCTTCATGTGTTCAATATTTTTTCCCTGTGCCATTTTACATTATTACAAATAACTTAATTTCTGGATACTTATGGTTTGATTTCTTTGTATGTATGGATCACTTGGGTTGTTACCAACATCTGGTGAAATTTTCATGTCATTAGCACCTCTAGTAATATATTTACTGAGAAAAATGTTGACGTGTTCAATACATATTTTACCCGCTGTATCTTTTCTGACAGCTGGTTTTTAACAATCTTCCAGCTTGATATCGTCTCCTGTTCTTTTTCAGATGTGTCCTGACAAATATATTTTATTCAAAACGCCGCTCCAACTTCTGCTACTACACTTCAAGTCCCGCCCCCACACTAATTCTGATTGGCTAGTAGGCCTGTCTAAATTGAAAGCTGCATCTCATATTGGGCCAGAGAAATGTTTGTTAAATCTGTTTTCAAAGCAGCGCATCAGATTCCACAACATAGCCAAAAATGCGCTAGTTGTTTAAAAATTAATACCTTGTCAGACGGCGTTTATTACCTTTTAATGGCTTTAATTTTTGCTTTTTTGATTTACTACCTTTTAATACTTTTTATAACCCCGCGGATACCCTAAACTCCCAGTTTAAATGCCCATGTCAGACTGGACTGTGACGATTCAGAGGATATAAAGCAGATAAAAGTTTTTAAATCATTTTATCTGCAAAAGCAGCCTCTTTTTTATTTGTTTTTCTGTTACAAGAACACCAGACCTTCGCTTCCGAAGCTTGATGAGGGGAAACCAAACGTCTTTGCTGTCGTAGAACCGAAGCCACCTGTAGCTGACGGAGGCGCTGTTCCGTTTAACTCTGCGAGCTGCCGAAACAAGCACACGTGTTAAAACCTGCTGACTGAGCTGAGGTAAAGACACACATATATACACTGTTATTAAGTGTGTGTGATGTTCGGGTCTCACCAAGGCTACTCGTGTGGCCGGACTCATGATCTTCAGCTCCTGAACTCGACTTTTCCAGTTACTGAGCAACTGATTGACGCCGCGTAACTAAAACACATAAAACAAGCTTGTTTTTCCAGATATCCACAGACAAAACAACCATCTGAACTTTAGTCAGGTGACAAATATCAGGAATGTTCTACTCACGTAGCTCTGCAGATCTCCTGATGCTCGTGTGGAGTAGTACTCCAGCCTGAGCTCCTCTGGAGATAAATCACTAAATCCTGTGGATCGAAATAAAAATAAAGCACGTTCAACTTATTGTCAAGGTTTCTAAAGCTAGGTTTGTTGTTAAAATAAGATTCATGTATTCAGATGTGACACAAACCTGATATGGATGCTTTGGAGCAAGAGTAACAGGAGAATCCCCACTGTCCTGAACTCTCCCAGACATCCATGTCCATCTGAATTATCTCCCTGATTGAACAGAAGACATTTACAATTTATATATGTGTACAATTTTACTTTGAAGGAAAACAAATTAAGTGTTGAAAACTTGCAGTTTTTTATCATCATCTTCATCCCCAGGTGTCCCTCCTCCGCGTCCTCCCCTCTCAAACGAATTCGATGAGCCGAGTCCCGAGAATCGGTTCTGAGTTGAGAATGCGAATTCGGAGCTCTTCACGTTCTCTCGTCTCCCGCCTCCACCACGGCCTCCTCCTCCTCCTCCTCCCGAACCCCAGTCGCTCCGCTCCTGCGACGAGAAGGCCGAAGGCTGGATGTAGTTGCCTCTTTGCTGGGAAGGGTTCACCCAAACTCTGTTTCTGAAGCCTGGAAGCACCATGGAAAGAAACGGCAACTTGAGCTTGCAAAATCTGTTGAGTGTGCTCATTTCCAACCAAAGCYAATGCTAAATGTTCTCTTCATCAAATCGTTATTCTCAATGGGACTAGACTCTATGGTGGCCCGTATTGTTTTGTGTTCCTGTTCTAACTTTTTTTTTTGTATGCGTGAGTTTTCAGAGCCAAATGGCAATGTCATCTTAAAAAATGCCCATGACAAACACTGGTTATTTACAAAATTAAGGCATATGGTTGATTTCATCCTTCTTTTTGCACCCAGAAAGCTAAAAAGCACATTACATATTAATCCAAAAGCAACAAAAGATGTGGCTATTTTTTTTTGCATGTGCGCAACCAAATTAACAGGGTTTCCAACGTATAAGATTTTTTGCCAAAAATTGTTACAACAAAGTAATAATTTGCCAAATGTCCTTACTCTTTTTGTTTAGTTTGTAAAATAAAATCTGCTTGTATTTCAGTAATTAGATTTAATTTAAATCGGCCCTGGCATAGGTCCTATCAGAAGAAATATTACTGATATTTTAGAGTCTTTTATTTACGACTCCGATTCTTTCAACTCTTCGCCTACTTGTTAAGTTAAATCCAAGTGAAGGTTGTTTATTTTTGAGTTTTTAGCATTTTCTGGTGACTCCTACTAACATGTTTCGWCATTAAATAAAATTTGGTCACTGTGAACACTCGCACTAGTCGGTGAGTAGAAAATACTGATAGTGGTGTAGAAGTTAAAGTTGTGTATTTGTTTTACCTCCACTTTCTCCTCTGAACTGCTGTTGACCAGAGGAGCGGTTATAACTCTCATTATAACCTCCTCCGCTTCCTCTGTTTCCTCCCCTCGGGTGCTCATTCCAGCATTTCTCCCCATAACGACACCGACCCTGGAGGAAAAAGTTACACACCACCATTCTGGACAGGAAAGCCGAAGAAAGCTCACACCTGGGGGAGATGTTTACATGAGCTGTGAATGCGGCGCATGAAAATGACGTCACTTTCCCCTCTTTATGCTGCACGCAGCGCCCCCGCGTGGCAGATGTGYCTTATTAAATTCGCCCAGACCAGAGGGCGCCGTGGTTTCTGTAGATTTGTGTCAGAAACTCATGTCAGTTTAATTTACCAAGCAAAATATAACTCTCATTGTAATAAAGTCAAATGTTTTAACCCCTCCACATTCATTTATATTTCCCTTCAAATCAGCTAAAATTAAACATGTCATTCACCAGCAAATGTCTTTACTTCATWCCTAACTATTTTTAAAGAAATACTTTTATTTTTCATTCAGATATTCAATACACATTAAGCATAAATGTTTTGATTGAATGAAGCAGTGTTGTGTTTGTAAAGTTTTAAAGGCATAAACAATCATTTTATGAATAGTGAATTAGTGTAAAAATGGGAAAATACAGGGATAACAAGGTTTGAGCTTTATTAAAAACACCTGTATGGTGTGAGCTTTAAAATCAGGAAGCAGAATCTGTTTGATGCAAGAAAAAAATAAGCATTGCTGTAAAGGTAACATTTTAATGGAGCAGGCATTAAAAACCAGTAAAGCCTAATTTTATATTAAAACAATACATTTGTGATTTTTTTTTACTTGTTTATCTCCATTGGTCAACAAAACAAATGTAATACCACTGCACTTTTCCTATCTCTACAATAAAACATTKAATAGAATATTTTGAACCTGCAGGGTTGGTGAGACTGATGCGAGGAGCTCAGAGGTAWAAGTGAAAACAAGCTTTACTCAACGAGGTAAACCAATGACATGGCAGCAAAACAAATACAAATCATCACCAGGAACATCACCTACAAATCTCCAGACACAACCAACAAATAACACAGAACTTCTTCTTCTTCTTCTGTTTTTATTGGCGGGTGACATCYAACGTTAAGATGTATTATCGCCATCTACTATGCTGGAGTGTGGACCAGATTATCTCCCTTTAATCTAAATTCTCATAAATAGTCCTGTTTCCTTCAAAAAATAATAACTGCTTTATTTATTTTATGTTTATTTAATATCTTATTTAATTTTAATGTCTCTGTATCATATTTCATAATTTCTCTTTTTAGCTTCTCTCTACTTGATGCATACTTTTCACAATGAATTATTACATGTTCTACTGTTTCCATATCCCTACCACACTCACAACTACCTGTTGGATGTTTCCCTATCAAATGTAAYGTTTTATTTAATCCGGTATGTCCAATCCTCAATCTTTAACACAGAACTGATGTGAAGGTGGAGAATATAGAGCAGCTGACAAGGTATTGGAGGCAGCTGCGCTGATTGGACACTGGCAACAGGTGTGAGAGACTGAACTGGGAAATAAATTAATTAAATTTAAAAAAAACACAAAAACCAAACCAAAAGGAAACTAAAACACCAGGAACCATCAAACAATAACCTAAACCTTTTCATGACAGAAACAAAGCTTATGGAAATACTGATGT